AGGCAGACGTTGCTGCGCGAGGTAGTCCTCAATTTCTCTTGGCCTCTGACCAACTAGGGGACGAGGCGAATGAATAGAGAAACCGCGCAGTCCAAGTTGTCGGTATGGACATTCCCGGTAGATGTGACCGGCTTCACCGCAATGGAAGCAGAGGGGTCTTCTATCCGACGTACGCCAAATATCGGACTTCCGCGGAGGGGCACGGCGACCGTCGATGTCCAAACCAGCATGCGCAGATTGAATTGAAACTGGCGGCATCGTCTGGATTGGGACTGCAGGGCTTGAGACCGGCATGGAAGTGCGCAGAGCTTCGGCATATGTGCGGTTCCCAACATCAGTGGACGCAGGAGGTGGTTCTAGATTTGTAACCGTTGGTTGAGGGCGACGGCTGTGAAGCACCTGCTGGACCTCGTCCCGAATAATATTGGTGATGCTGCTTACCTCCGGCTGTCTCGCCCCATGTAGTTTCGCGATTTCCTCGCGGACGACGGAGCGGACGATTTCGCGAATCCACTCAATGCTGTTGCTCCCGAAGCTGGCGGAAAATTCAGTAGGTGATGCAGAATTCACTTGCCGGTTGAGTAGGGCTGACCGCTGATGAAGTACCCTCTCCATCGTAGTGGCTTCGGTCAGGAATTCTGCTACACTCTTCGGAGGACTCCGCACTAGACCAGCAAAAAGCTGCTCCTTCACGCCTCGCATCAGATAGCGTAGCTTTTTTTCTTCTGGCATTGCCGGATCCGCTCGCCTGAAAAGCTGCGTCATGTCCTCCACGTACATGGTGACGGTCTCATTAGGCATCTGGATGCGTGAATGCAATGCACGTTCAGCACGATCGCGGCGGTCGGGGCTCCGGTAGGTCTCCAAGAGGCGATGCTGGAACTCGCGCCAGGATGTCAAGACATCACTTCTGTTCATGAACCACGTTCGGGCGCCGTCTTTCAAACACGCGTAGACGTTGCGGAGTTTGGCGGCTTCGTCCCAGTAGTTGATCGCTGCGACGTGTTCGAACTCGCTCAGCCAGTCGTCCACATCCTCAAACAGCTCTCCGTGAAAGGGACTAGGCATCAGCGGGTTCTGGACAGTGCAATAAATTGGTGCCGACGACGTAGGAGTTTCCATGACGCCTTGAGGCGAAGTCATAGTCGCTCTATGGATAAGCTGTGCCGGTGTCTCTGGTGGTAGGCCTCGTTGGCGGCGGCTTGTTCTGTGAACTGGCGTGTCCACGGGCACAGGGCTTGTGTTCCGGCTCCTGGATGGGCTCTTGTGCATGGGGTGCGTCGTCAGTTGTCGTACCCAGCAGCTCCACCAATCTTGTCACCAATCTTGTCTCACTCAAGGAAACCTTCCGCAGAACTGCTCGTCAAGCTAGGACAAAAAGAAAAACTGCTCCAACCCAACCTCTTCGTCCTCTTCCACACGAAAACCACGCGAATTCATGCGGCATTAAAAAGCGGCTCAATCCCAACCTCTTCGTCCTCTTCCACACGAAAACCACGCGAATTCATGCGGCAATACATACATACATACATACATACATACATACATACATACATACATACATACATACATACATACATACATACATACATACATACATACATACATACATACATACATACATACATACATACAGACGGACGGACGGACAGACGGATGGATGAATGGACAGATGGACAGGCAGGCGAACGGAGGATTCACAGTTTATAGATAGAACCGTCCGAAGCTTCGCCCCACATATCATCATTTCCTCCATGAATTTGCTGTAATTTTTTTTGACATTGCCCTCGTTATGGTAAAAATTGCGCTACTTTACCCTACACAAATTTTTTATCACTCATTTACTCTACGCCCCAAAATAGTGAATGTAACAATATTTACAGTTCAGACTATTTATTACGTTACGACGTGCAGATGTCTTGTGCCACTGGACTCGGTAGCGACTTCAACGATTTCATAATTACTTTTCAAGAGAGACTAAGAAACATAAAACACAGCCGAAGTGAAGAAAAAACATTCCGACATTGATGTGAGAACAGCATTCGCACATAGCTGAAAAAATTAACAACGGATTCATCAGCAAATATACATCTGGATGCCTAAGTGAAATGGTAACAACGAGGCGTGAAGCGAAACACCCATCGTAGCGCCACGGCTTAGATACGGACAAAAGACAAAGACACAGCACTGACCATCAATTTGCCAAACTTGCGATGCTGCTTAAGCGAAACGTCGCAAAGGCGGAACACATGCATTGCATAGCAGCAATGGAAGTAAAATCGACTCTGAATAAGTACCCCTATGACAAAGACGAAATAAACCGGAATACATCTTAAGATAACTCAAGAGGAGGCACTTTGCTGTTTGAAGCGAACTTGGACTGCCTCAGGAAGCGTAAATATAAGTCGAGATACAGTTCGAAGAAATCCGCATGTATGGGGAGGATCGGGGTATGACAGAGCATGTCTTAATTGAATGTTAAAATACATTCTTTCGTGTGAGCTAGGGCACTATCATACATCAAACATAGTGTTAAAGGGACAACATCGGAAAGGTGAACGGGTTGATAATATATAAAGTAAATTATGGCTATAGGTTTGGAGGCGGCAAAGTAATAATGAAAAAAATCAGAAGACCTGATGGGCGATAAGGTGCAGAAATTTAGGTTTCAAACTTATGCAATTTTTTCTTAATATGACAAGTTTCCGGCTAAATATGGGGATGAGAAGAGCGTTTGTGAAATAGACGTCTATAAACAAAAGCGTAGGCAAGAAGAGCTCAAATGAGAGCATTTGAAAAACCAAATAATAAGGAGGCAAAATAGAAGACCCATGCACAAGCCAAGCGCTTGCCATTTCTACCTGTATTTTTTCGCCTCCATTTCTTTGTGTGCTAATAATTTCAATTATTAAATCTTTAGCAACCTCTCAAGCTGCCACACTTGCCTGGTTTCCGAGGGCAATTATAAGGGAAAAAATATAAATTTCAGGGCAACAGGTGCGCGGGCCCTTAGGCAACCCATCTCAGTGCGCGCATCACTCACTGCGTCATCTTGAAGAAACAAATAATCCATCTACACACTAGAGGCGCAAAGCCTGAGAGAATATGCAGAGATGAGCAGTCTTTTTTGATTCTCTTCATTTTTTTATTCCTCTTTTTTCTTGTTATCTTTCTCACTGTATTTTGTATTTATTATATTTCTATTGTTCTTTCTATTCCGTTATTTATTTGTTTTTTTTCGCGTGCTTCCTTTTTTTCAGTATTTGCACGTGGCTCTGCCCTTGAAGTGGTTCGCACTTTCTATTATCATCAAGGCGCTTGAAGGAGAATACGAAGAACATTTCTCTTTGAAGGGAGTGCGTGATAAAGACGGCAATACTATAATATGCGGTGCCTGCGTTGCGCCGCGTGAAGGTGACACCACACGATAACAGCACAAGCGACAATGTGGCCCCCTAACATACTCCGCAGTTAAAACGCAAGTTCACACAGGATATTACGGAATAACGTGAACATTTTTTTTTTATTTCGGGTAAATCAAGCTGGCAACCTTTATACAGAGCAATAGTGACCACTCAATAAATCATTGGCACTTCTAGGTCAAACTATCTACATATATGAAGCAATCACCACTTTTATAATAACGACTTTATTGTTCAACCTGTAATAACGAACCATAATGCACGTTATTTACGACCTGATTAGAGTCAGCATCGCAAATACAAACTAGTGCTTCTCAGTGATTGGCTTTACCCAAGAAGAGGTGCCCCAGCGGGTGCGGCGAGAACTAGAGCTGATACGCCGTTTCGGTACCTCGCAACAGGCTGCACTGTTTACTTTATGTAACGGCCGTGGTGAGACACTCCTATAGTCTCTTCGAACTCACGCTGTTATAGCTATGAAGAAGGAAAAAAAAGAGAGAAAACAAGCAGGGATGTTGACCAGTCTAGAAGGATCGGTATGCTACCCTACGCTGTAAGAAAACGTGTGGAAGATTTGAAGGCCCAAGGGAAAGATAGTGAGGAGAGAACGCACACACAATCTCAAATGAATCCCAACCATGATAACGCCATTAGTCATAGCCGTCAGTGCAAGCCTGATGTCTTCAAGAAGTTGAGCACCGCCTTCGTCGCCTATACCGGCGATGGCCTCAGGAGGACATTGCATAGAGCACCCGCGAATGATTTTTGTAGCGCACTGTAGCGAGCACAATCGCATTTTGTATTTGGGTTGGGAAGTTCTTGCATAGCCTGAATATGTACGCAGATAATTTTGTGTATTCTAAAAGTTATATACATCTTCATGCGAGGACAATTCCCTCAGCTTGCCAATTTGATCTTTGCTCCTTTTCGTTTTTTCCTGACGTAGTGTTGCGTACTGCCACACAACAAGCACATTGTTGCGTACTCAATGCCATTCTTGTGCAGTTATTAGCGTAGCTCTGAATATTGTGCTTAATGCAGCTGCGCTGCCGTGGAACCCGAGGAAATGCGTAGCGGGGGTCACTTAGCGATTCCCTTGTTAATCGCGTGCTTGCGGAAGTGATGGTGCCCTCTCCTGGGCGACGCGGGAATGAGCCAGAGTTTTCATAATTGTTTTTTTTTTTGGCGGCTGTAAGTGAATAGTTGAAAAACATTTCTTGTTCATTTCCGTAAATTGTATGGTTTAGGAGCTTGTTTATTTTTACAGTTTTCGAGCATTGACAGCCTTGTTTTATGCTTGCACCGACCATTCAGTCGATATGTGACATGAGACAAGAAATGAATGACAGGGTGGGCTCGATACAAAATGCTACTCACTTGAGACAAAGTTAAGCGAGGGTACTTTAGGTACACCATTGCGAGTGTCGCTGATAATTTCACCAGGAGCACAAGAGTGGGCAGATGGACTACAGAGAAAGGAATTCTTGCGCAATACCGGCATCATTTACATAATTGGAAGAGTGTTGGCCGAGTTCGATTATAGCAAAACGAAGTTAGTTAAATGAGAACGTCACTTACCGATCTCTTGACGAGTACTCAGCCGTAGTCGGAGCGGTGGCGAGCATCGCAGCAGCCGCGGCGACGAAGGTCGCGAACCGCAGCCCAACGACCATGCTCGCGGTTAAGCCGTGTCCCACTGACCGCGCAGTTCAGCGCTCGGTGCGCAAAGAACGCCCGCTCAGCTCCGAAGCTCGTCCTGCGGGCCGCAGCTGGGCCTCGTCTCCGGTGGCGACGGTTACGAGAGCGCACCAGGCACCGCTTGCCGGCGGCGGAGATATATGCTGGGCCGGCCCGCCCACCTCCGTCGCCCCGGTGTCCATCGCGGTGTCCGATTACGTCTTCATCTCGTCCCGAGGCCTGAAAATACCTCCCTCTTCACCTAATCGCGTAGCCGCCGTGATCATCCCCTTCGCGTACTAGTGCAGATCGTGTACGCGATTCATTCAAGAATTCTGAGCATCCCAGAGGGGCGAACAGCTTACAATTTTTTAAGGGTATACCGTTGCCCAAGGTCGAAACTCAGGCAATATGGGGACAAAGAGGTGTAGGACAGGGCGGCAGGGCATGAGATCTACACAGTTTTAGAGCTGGAGGACAATGATACGCCGAGAACCTTGTGAAGTGTTTTAAAAATAAAAACGGCCGAAATTATATGTGGCGGTGGTATTACTGAGGCGTTCTTTAATCTGCATATAAATGTAAGAGAAACACGGTATTTCAACAACACGGAATGAATAAACATTAGCTTCATTGTTATTCAAGGAATTCAACTCCTGGCGAGGTATCGAAACATTGCTTGTGTCAATAAAATATGCGCCCAATTCAATTCCTTGGCACTGGGTTAATAAAGGCGAAGCATTTGTTAGCAAACTTCGGCGACTTTGGGCACATCTATCTATCTATCTATCTATCTATCTATCTATCTATCTATCAGCTTACGTTTGGCTGCTCTCGTGGTCACCTCCTTAACTTGGCGTGAACCAAAATTAGCGTGGGAGGGTAGGATGGTTTAATGAATATGACGCGTTTGTCATTGTCAAGACATCAGTACTGTCACAATCCCGTCACGTACGTCGTCAAACACCTCCCACCGGAGAGTGGCACATACCCAAAGGTGGGTATGTGCCGCTGGTATGCTGGTATGTGCCACAGATGATTAACACCTTGTATCTACCCAGTAACGACGAGAACACACATGGGCAATTTTAAAGCGCGAGCGTTAAGAAATACCCGACATCGGTAGCGTCGTCCCGACGAATGCAGATAATAAATGTCAGGGTCCCAGCTGGAATCGAACTCAAGCATTCTGCGTGGCTGTGAAGCATTTTACCATAGAGCTACGTCAGGTCCCGCAACAGCTTTTCAAATAGATGGTAGGCTTCGTGAAACGTCAATAGTGGTTTCAGTGGTACTCAACTTTATAAACATTACATATGTACGCCATTGATACAGTCGTCACATCGGGTTAAGGACAATTACGGTTAGTTGGCATGCGCTGAAGTTGATTTATGTAGCAATGTCCAAGGCCAGCATCCTCGCGAGCATCAGCGCTTCATATTCGCTTCTGGTGCTGCTGATACCAATGCTCCAGTTGGCATCATTACGCAAGTGCAAACAACTGGTTATGTGAACATGTGCAACTCGTAAACACATGTCTGGGCGTGCAGCATTTGTACGTATATTTAGCGTCATTTTATGACGTTTTGCTCAATAAAAAAAATTGCAACACAGTCACCTTCCTTCTGCATGCTTCGCATAACGTCGATTCCAAGGCACGGGAGATATGCCTAGCTTTTTTTTTATCTCTCTTTGCCTTCGTTGGTTTATCATGGTTGATGTGAAGTCCTCTTTATGTTGTCGCATTTAAGTTACTAATGTCTGTCCTCATCGTTTCGGGGTAGACTGTCCGTCAGACGTGGAGCATACCTATAGTACAAGGGTATGCGCCAGACATGTCTGAATGAAAAGTTTTCATGACGTGCTTAACATGGATGGATGAATGGTTAAGATTTTCACGTTATTCATGTCATTACTAGTCAGCCACTTTCGTGACACTCTCTTGCACTCCAACAGTAGTTTGAGTCTTCACCAATTTAAAAAGGCGCTCAGAGCACCGAGACAAAGGCTAATAGATAGACAGACAGACAGACAGACAGACAGACAGACAGACAGACAGACAGACAGACAGACAGACAGACAGACAGACAGACAGACAGACAGACAGATAGATAGATAGATAGATAGATAGATAGATAGATAGATAGATAGATAGATAGATAGATAGATAGATAGATTTATTTATGAGTTACTGCAGGCCATAAAAATGGCCCAAGCAGGAGTGGCAGGTAGTACAATGATAATGATATGACCAATTAATAGATACAGGTGTAGAGAAAGAAGAAAAAACAAAGAAAACAACAACAACGACGACCGAAAAAAATAAATCAGACAAGTGTACAATATATTCGCGGGTTACATAACTTGCACTTCAAAGTAATTTTCTAGATAGATAGATAGATAGATAGATAGATAGATAGATAGATAGATAGATAGATAGATAGATAGATAGATAGATAGATAGATAGTGGCTGCTGTACGCAAAGAAATGCATCGCATTTAAAATATCAAACATCCATTCAAGTTGGAATCAGATCCATTGTTGCTGTTCAGGGAGCAGGTTGTCAAGCACATGACCCCACCAATGCTTGAAGCTGTTCCCTAAAAAACCTACATACGAATTTGACGTAGTGCAAGTAGTCCCCTTAAAGTATCCAATCTGCGTGGCATGGCAGAAGTGTACGACTTCACCAGGTGCGGAACAGTGGGTGGATTAAACTGCAACCCATCAAAAATCACTCAGGCATAATTAATAATTCTCATCGGCAACGGCATCAACAAAGTGGGAAGATGCGCAAGTGGGCGTGTTCTCTTATAGAGGCGCAGTTGGTACTTTTTCAGTTGGCAAAGACAATAATTATGGTGTAAAACAAACTTTCTAACTGTATACTTATACTAGGCATTCTGGAAAAAGATTGAAACGACTGATATACAGGCGCACTGGCGTTCATTTCTTTTATTTTTTTCTGCAGCACAGCTCAAATGTCCACCGATAAGCGAATTAAGGGTAGTGATTGAGTAGGTGGTGCCAACTACGCCATCACATTCCACTCCTGAAGGTGAAGCTGGAGAGTTCCCTAATTTATTACAGAAACAGAACACTTGCTGGCAGTTCACGTAAAAGTGTGAGGAAAACGCCCTTCTTAAGATGAAGGCAGCCGTGCTCCCCACATTCGCATGAAGATGACTAATCTCATAAATATAGAAGCACAGTGATAATACTACCGTTTCGGTGATGCTGAAGTTTTCAGAAAAAAAGCGACCTAATCCAGTCGTCCGTTTAGGGTCAATTATCCTTTTAAAACCATAGGCTGTGTGTACGTTTCTAATTCAATCATTATTAACGACAAATGACCCGCGAGTCTTTCCACATTTCGTTTCTTTTAGATATTTTCATCAGTACTGTCTATTCGCAGTAAATTCGTTCTTTCATATACCCAAAGTTCAATAAAAAATCAAGTCACTCCTCAATTGATTATTCAAAATTTTCGAGGCTTTCGCCCACAACTAGTTTTTGGTTCTGTCGTTTGTATGATACGGACGAGGGGTATGAAGCAGTTGTAATACTTGTCTTTGTAGTGGTGACAATGAAGTAAAAGAATTTTTACGGTGACCTCAATATTTTTTCTATAAAATAAATACGCGAAAAACTTTTCTCGCGACACTGCGTCTTTGCGGTTTTATATTTTATTTCTTTTAATCCGTGATGCAATATGTTATGCGATAAGAACTGCGAGGAATCAGCTGCACGTAACCGGTGATATAAAGTTTCATCAACATGACAACGTGCACGTGAGAGGATACGCAGATTTCAGATGATTAACTTTTACTCTAAAGCTGTCGCATTGATTGCAAATGTATTCCTTTTGCTTTAAATAGGAAAATTACCATTGAGGTAACCTTTGAGTTCAGGTTCACACGTTCTAAAGGTAGAATTTGGAGCAGTCATGGGTGGAGCTCTGCTAATAACCTTTTGAGTAATAAGATGGCAACTAATAATAGCGACAATAAAAGCGTATAGATACCTTTATATAACAAAAGAGGTTAACGTACTTTATAGCGTTAATTTAACCATACAAAGTAGTTGAATCATTTTTCTTTTGTGTGGAATATCATCAGGGTAAATTTTCAGTTATCCCCCAGCTTTCTGGAAGTAATGATTGGAAGGTAAGGATTTGGAGTAATATATTCCAGACTCCTAAAAAAATGTGGTCAATACTAATTTTCTGTTATCTTTTCAGCCCGGCGGGAATGCCATTTTTCAGCTATTCTTCGTTTTGCAATGGCTGCTGGTGGCGCCTTTGCATGTCTGAAAAAAAAAAATACTTAGAGTTATCAGAGCGCTCTCGTAATTTTTCTCGCACTCAAAAAAGTGTGTGTGGGGGAGGGGGGGAGTAAGTGTAAGCGATGCAGTTGCGTGATTCTTGCTATTGCAATTTCAGTTGAATGCATGGGTTGCGTAGTGTGGGCACTACGCTATTCAAAATAATTCAGAACAACCTGCATTTTTCTGTGACTACGCATGGTGAACACTTAAGGTCAACAAACATAAATTTGCCTGTTTCACCCGGTTAGCCAATGCTGTCACTCACACACTGGTAAACACATCAACATCAAGCCGTGGCAAGTACGTCATCCTAATAAATTTGTTTTGGTTGACCCTATGGACAAATTGGTGTTCACTGTAGCGGGATATTTGAAAGTTTTTGTTTCGGCATATTTCATACTTTTCAATTGAGCTTTTTTGTCCCTCACCCATCGCCCAAATGAAAGAGAAGAAAAATGTAATTATTTGCTTTATTGCATCTCTGCGAATGTATCGGTGGAGGGACCTCACTCATGCAGAGTAAATTCGCCTTTAGTCCCTTCAACCTAGCAGTATATTTTTGTTTTGAATAAGCAATCAATATCTACACATACATATTAGGATGTCGTTGCACTTGTACGAGCATGCACACATGCGCAAGCACGCAATCATAGAAAAAAGCCATCTCAACTGCGCAGTCACTAAGGGGGATTATAGTAAACCATTACCGTAACCAAGCTGAGGACTTTTTACGTGAAACAAGTCTTACCATAAACAGATTCACTGTAAGTACTCATACATATGCTGTTCAGGGGAAAATGACTGTACATATGCGAAGGCAGAAGCACGGAAGCAGTACTTAGAAACAACGAAAAACCAACTACAGCGCAAAAAAAGCAATATAAGTTTTAGGGAACGGTGGCAGAGAGAATGAACGCAACAACGAAAGCGTTCCGGTGTCGACACACTACACGGACCACGGGCCTCTGGGGAGGCCTGAAAGGGACTGGAGCTGCTCGCAGGGTGGCGCGCTTGTCGCACCCGACCATGCACTCCGTGTCAAGCGAGTGCGCCTCCCGAGACGCCCCTCTCCTACATTCCCCGCTCGTCCTTCTTTTCCCCACCGCTGCTTTCCCAGAGCAGACAGCAGAGTCCGCGGTGAGAGTTGCCCGAACAGACGCGGAGGCGCTGGCTCGACGAACTCTTCCGCCACGTGACTGCATCTCGGAAGTAGTGGGAGTTGACGGCAGCGGCCTTCCGTTAATTCGTCGACGGCAACTGCATGGCCTGCGGTCAGGGAGCCCTCAGAATCACGCCAGCGCCACTGGTGGGGACCTGGAGATTGCCGCTGCTGGTGCTTCTCGCGTCAAACGTGCTGTTTCTGCAAGTCATACAAGTGAAAAGCCTCGGTGAGACATTCTTCACCTAAATTTTCTGAAACCAAGTGCTATGTCGTAGGCCGGGCGCCTCCTTTCATTTGGAATATTGAAGTAACCGGTTGTTCACTAAATGCTTGACACGCAGTTATTGTAAAAACGATTGAAGATCGAGTTTTTTATTAACTGCAGTGTTTAGTAAGAATCAAGAAAACTTTTTACTGACCTTAACTATGGTAAAAGAACAACAACATAAAAAACGCTGCGTTATTTAGTAACCGGTCCTGAGTTTCATAAAATCTGAAACTTGCCATAACAATGGCAATGACATTTTTTTCATTTCATTATTGATATTCAATAAAGCTGTGTCCATTGCAAATAAAAAATGTCCCAGTAATTTTTGAGGGATGATGTATTCTTTAAAAGACCTCTTTCTCAATAACATTGTGATGACAGATTTAGTATTACATAAAGCTATTAAGACACCTGTTGCACTCTTCAAAATATCTTATAAACAATATAGCTGCGGCAGGCGAGTGTCCTGGTAGGGATTGAAAAGTTTTATTTTATGTCAGCATTTGAGGCTAAGTTGAAGTGGTTAAAAGTTATTAAGCTAAGCTTTAGCCTGGTTTTCAATACATCGTAGTACATGAATAAAACATTACCTAGGCTGATGTATATGATGTAAAATTCATCAGTTGCTGGTGAGCGGGGGAAGGTAATGATGGCGTTGAACTCTTTGCTGCTGGCTTCTTTTGTGATTATTGTCTGTCCCCAAACGCTCTTCAGAAAAAAACAAACGGCTGTTCTACTCGGCAGTGTAAATGTAAAAATGCCGCCCAGATATGCTTTAGTTGCACGTGTCTCTCGATACACCTAATAGGAAATAAAATATTATAATTCGTGAAATGACTTCAAGTTGCACTCAAGCACATCGACAAAGACGGGACAGCACCTGTCATGCGTTATTTGTTTTTCCATATTTGTGAGTATGCTTCAGCGTTACGAAAAATAATAAGTTAAAGATGGGTTGAGCCTATCCAAAAAAAAAAGTAGAACGCTGCTACAGTATATTTTGAGTTGACTGAGTTAATGCCACATACGCAGACAAACGCAGTGTGACTTGGACCAGTATTAGGTGCTGAGAGACACAGAAGGGCGCCGACTTACAACCTGTTTATTTGAACTTCAGCATGCTTTTTTATGCGTCATACGTGGCTTTAGTTAAACAGGGAAGATTTATTCGCTGACAGCGAGTCTAGAGAACGCCGCGCAGAGCGCACAGTGTTGCAGGACATGCAGTTCGAGAGCGCAACCCACCACAGCAACGTTGTCGTATTCCTCCTTCTGAGTGTCATTTGAGCGCTTGTGCCGGAGTGATAGTTCTCTACACGTGTCAATATCAGCCAAGACATCACTAGGAATGACAAAATAGTATTAAAGGAAATAAAAATCGCACAGACAAGGACAACCAAAGGTTTACGAGCTAGTGAGGGAAAGGGTTAGACACCCATAAGACCTCTGGAAAAATGAAGAAGCACAAGAAAAGAACGCTTCCTTGGGCTTTTCCCTCATTACGTTGTACCAACTAGCGCACTAAAAAGTACTTCTACAGCTAGATGTTATGCGCACTCATATTGAACAAAGCAAACTACATTAGTGAAAAGAAGACTGAAAACAAGGCAATGCATTTCGAGAAGGAGGCTTCGGAATAGAAAAAAAATGAATACGCGTAACAGGCGAGAAAGCAGAACCAAATAGTCAAAATAATAAATGACTTTACAGGAAAAAGTCACCACATGGCTCATCTTTATATATATCGCCCACGCACGTCGCTACACGTCACCATAGACAAGATTCATAAACACGTTACTTCACGAGAACGAATGCTTTCCTTCGTACTGCAACCATATCATAACCATCTAATTATTGATGAGTTTTAGAGCGCCATGTTAAAAATACTGACTCAATTTCTTTATTATTGTATTTGTTTTTTTTGTTCTTTCTAACACTTTCCAAAGGATTTTACTGTGTCACCATTTCTATCGCCCTCCCAGATTGAACTACAGGTCTGCAGTATTTGATAAATAAAAATAAACAATCTAAATGAACCTTTTGATCAGCGAAAGTATGTAAATAAACGAACATGTTACAAACTAGAACAACAAAGATGAAACTCAGGATGAAGCGACATTAACACCAATCCACAGAATTGATGTCGGCATCGTTCAGCAAAATTTGGGGCTTCTTTGCGCACTTAGCGAGTGAAAAAAAACAAAACGAGTTATCACAGACAAAACAAGGTAATTTATCCTTTTGCATTAGGACAGTGCATGGTACAAATGTGCACTGCCAGTTCATTGCGTTTGAAACAGTCATAAGGAACGGCCAAGAGTGGCATGGATCTTACTGGTCGTGCAACCTACCAAGGTATACAAGATGGCTAATTTTAAGTTTTTCTTCGCTACGACATGTGCCACGGACATCAAATTGGGATGGTGCACATGCTTGATTACTGGTTTCTATCCACTGTTATCATTGGCAAAAATTAGCACTTTTACGACACCGATCAACGTGTCTGTAGAGTGTAGCACTTGGCCGTTTACGAAACAGAAAACACGGATTCGCTTGCAACTGATAGATTTACACTGCCCTTATTATTCAGTTTTTGTCAATGAACTACTTTTGGGCTTGATTTAGGTGGATGGTGTTCACCCTGAAAAGGCGGCTATTACACTGATTTATTGCACCTGAGGATTTATTTGCAGAAGTGGCGTCAATGGCAGTTCGCATTGGGATCAGCTAATTACTGTAACCACCAAATCATGTAGGCTGATATATACCTGTCGCAAGCCGCCTTCACGTGGGCTGGGCATAAATGCATGGCAGGTATACTCTTGCAGCAAACAACTAGTGTAGCAGTGTATTGAATCCTTAAAAAATATTTTAAAAAAGAACAGTTCCATCAAGTGTATAATGTTCCTGTTCAATTTCTTTTACGTCTAGTACCACCTCCGAACAGCAAAACACAAATATTGCACTTTTTTGCCTTAATATGAATACTATGGTACATATATGTGCAACGGTTTTCTCGGAACTTGTTCTGTCGATAGTGAAGATGGTGTTAAACACTTCATTATGTCATTGTTTTGAAAATTTTAAGCAAGAAGTTTCATTTAGAAATTAGTGCCTCACAAAGCGCGTAAAAGACTCAGCCTCGAGGTGAACAACACAATGCGACAATAGGAACCACTTCATTCGCGTGGTGGTTAAAAGTTTCAAGATGAGCATATGACCAACAGAAACATGGCAACAAGTCGTGGGTGCGAATTTAGAAGGTTACAAAAAACCATCTCTAAATTCAATTTCAGCGTCAGTTAGGGGAACTGAAGGCATGCTTACGTGATTATCTGCGGCTTTTTTCATAGAAGAAAAAAAAGCTTGAAGAAGAGGGCGTTTTGTCGTCTTTCGATCTTTTAAAAGATGTGGCGCTGTGAAAACGTGGCGTGCACTCACAACGTTTGCCGTATTCGGCTAGGAATCCTGCATCTTTATGACATAAATTCAAATTGGGCTCCTTAACTCACTAATTCAAACGTCTTTGCCCTCTGCAATGGTGGCCCGAGCTTAGGGGAATGTCACAAACAACACTTCCAACAAATTCCATGAGCATGTTTCTATGCTGTGTGGTATACTGAGGTAACCTTTGCAGATTGGTCAAGCTGTACAGTTTCGACGACTTACACATGGCTGAAAACATTATTGAAACATTGCGTTTGGAAGCTACCTTCTTGATGGGATGTAACATCTCACGAACGTCAAAAATCACGTGCACTTGTCTCTTTCTATTCTTTCGCCCCTTTCCACATCTGGCCGATTAGATTTTGATACAATGACTAGCAAACTTTAGATTCCAAGTGTGACGGAAACCCTTCGCTGATCAAACTGGTTGCCTGATTTCTCAAGCTTACGATTCTGCAGTGTTCACCCTGTTTTGTAAGGGCGCACTGAGACGAAAGCATCACTCTTCCCCTGCTGAGGAGATTGTAATGGGCGCTTCGAAAAGGAAGTAGGCCTTTCTTTGACCTTAGACAGAATTTCCAGCATATCTTATTATGCTGAATTTCCAGCATCTCTTATTAGCATATCTAAATTAACGTGGGGGTGGTGTTCTTGCTATAAAAATCGACACCTGATTTTGTCATCGATACAAATTCAAAGTTGAAAATTGTCTGGGTTGCGTGCACTAGTTATACCACAAAAATGTTGCTAGGTGCATGTCACCGTCCACCCGACACCGAACAGTCATATATAGATCATCTTCGTAGCAGCACCACTTTAGCTACTGAGAGATGCCGCACTAATAATATCTACCTCTGTGGCGATTTCAGCTTGGCACAAATTGACTAGAACAATTACTCATTCAAATCCCAAATGTCTTCTGACTTTGTGAATTTCGCCCTAGATTTTAATTTTACTCAAGTAATTAACTCACCAACTAGGGGAAATAATACTTTGGATTTATTTCTTAACACGGATTCCGATAATATAGGTTAAATCTCATGCCTTGAAGAGTTCAGCGACTATAAGCTGGTTCAATTAACGAAAGACACTCCTCTCAAAGATTCGGGTGAAACTAAAAAAGTGATTTAAGACTACAGTAAGGCCAATTATAGTGGTATGAATTCAGACTTTGAGGAATTCTACAACTACACATTTGTGCCTTCATTGTTAGGCCGTACTGTCGACGAAAACTCGTATATGTTTAGAGATAAGATTACTTTATTATTAGACAAATACGTGCCTGAAGTCTCTATATCTAATGATAAGAGAAACCCATGGTTTAACAAACATTTGGGAACCTTCAGGAATAAAAAAAAGCAGCTGTATCGGACCGCGGCACAAGCTTCCAGTGCCTCTGCTTGGAACATGCATAACAAAATGTCTTAAAAATTGCACTTCTGCGGTAATTACTGCAAAAAACAAGTATTTTAAACACGACCTGCGTTCGTTAATAAATTTCAATCCCAGAA